TTGTTTAATGGCAAACTGTTTAACTTAAACATTTTGTAGAGAAGTAGAAAATCATTTAGTGGCTAGAAATCCAACGGGAATGTCAAGAGCCTGAGCTATGTTTTACTGTGTAACCTTTTGTCTTAGCCTGTGACCCTGGAATAAAGATTTTTAAAAGGTTAAGAAGTTGTTTTTAATACATCCTAGAAATAAAATGCCCATACAAAATACATAGACACCTTCTTGACAGCAATATCCATGTTCACACTTAGAACATGCAAGATCAGCTTTCCAAAGTAAGTCCCATCACTGATACCACGCTGCCTTCCCCTCCCATGGCCAGGCTGCACTCCAAACACTGGTCAGGCTCACTCTCAGCCCTTTCCACTGGGTCCTGGGGTGGCTGCAGGTAAATCATAGCTCTGAGAAGTTAACCACATCCTCTTAGACTCCCCCTAATTAGACAGGCTTCCTTTTAGACAGGCAGTGGCAAAGCTTCCTCAGTGCAGCCCAAGGAAGCTACAGTAGAAAAAATATGTACTGCCTTACTTTAAAAAAAAAAAAACAAGTTACAACAAGTTTTAGCCAGGCACTGGCATCAGCCCCATTTTTTGAAGCCTCCATGGGATTTTTGTATAGCATGACAGATTTCAGCAGCTTTCCCCATGGAGGTTGCTTATCAAAAATTCTAGAAATGCAACTCCCAGCTATTCATCCACCTTCAGACCTTCTCTCCCCAACCTTTGCTTCCCAGCAGTTCAGTTTTAACACTTGTTAAAAAAAAACACAAAACACCCACAAAAATAAAAACCCAAACAGAAATGAACCAGTGTTTGCTGTCAGCCTCTGTCCCAGAGCTGTAAACAGCACCAGTGCCTGCTTGCTGAAGTTTTGGAGGCTTCACAGTGCGATCCCAACTGCAAACCTGAGGAGCATGGGATAGGTAATGCTGACTGGCCTTGAGGAAAAGGAACAAACCCACAGCATGACAAGACTGAAGATAATATTGAGATACCATCTCTAAGTGTTTATAGTGCCCTTAACAGCAGAGCAAGATAAACATACCCTTAATATATTACAAAATTATTTTTAAAAGCCAGCAGGAGCACGAATCCAGGTTGGCACCTCACCTCAACAAAGACAGATTCTTGGCTTCGACAGGCTCTCTGGAAATGCTGCTGGTTATGCCAGGCATAAGCATTTCTCCAGGCTAGTGCAATAGCAACAATAAAGGATTACTCTTAATCACTTGGAGCAACTCCTTCCACTGCAATCAAAATGTCCTTTCCACAACAGAAGGGCAGAGCAGCAGAAATGCACCCTGTGTTACCAAAGGCTGGGCTGGGTGTCAAACCACCCACATCAACATTCAACTCACCCTGCTGGCCAAAGGAAAATACTTACAAATTAAGTAATTCACTGTAACAAAATGTTTCAAAATCTCACTTCCCATTGAAAGGAAACCCCAGTGAAACACAAATAGCTTTTACTAAGCTTCTTCTAAATTAGAAGGTAAAGCACCAAGAAAGCTAAGATGACATTAATAAAGGTTTTTCAGGATGGATATTTCTACCAACTTGACTGGTGACAGCACTGAAAAATAAATACTGTTTAGACATCCATTTCAAATTGGAAAGAAGTAAAAAAAACAACCCTTGCTATGAAAGCTAAGTTCAGGACTAGTTACGCCTTATATTAACAATGTAGTAGATGCCAAGTAAATCTACAAAAGTAGATACCAAGAAAATTTAAAAAGTAACCATAACTGTTTTTTCTAGACATATTAAAAAACACCCTCATTCATTATTTATTTGGCCTGCATTGGTTATCAGAAGAAATAATTTCATACAAGTCAGAACCACCTCACTTAAATGCTCACTTCTATGCTGTGATTGCTTGGTAGCTGTGTTGCAGAAGAAAACAAAGAAACCACCCAGATCCATTTTCACCCTTAAATCATAATATATGGAAATGGGTGTAATTTACTCCTTAAAGTCAGGTTATCCAGATCAGCACGTTTGGCAAATCACTGCTCAAATCAAGCTCTGTTGAGGAGTTCTGGATGTGTAGATGAGGACATGCAGCATTACCTCAGAAACACTGCAGAGCCTGAACAGAAGCACCCATTTTCAAGAACTACTTCTAAAGCTTTCAGGGCTGTAGCCCATTTTTGTGATGGAGTGATGAAAAAACTTTTCTCAGAATCTCAGTATATTGTCTTGCTTTGCCTCTTTTTCATGCTGACCTAGATTTTTCCAAACACAACAGGAGCTGACTGAGCCAGACTTTGGAAATACCCAAGTGCTGGTTAATGAAGGACATTTAATTTGCTTTAGAGCTGGGCAGCTGGGCCCCTGCAGAGCAGTAGAGCCCTGGTGAAGCTGGGGGAATGGCCTCCTTGGTCAATGCCACGGAGTTCACAGTGAATTTGCCACTATAGGCAAGTCCCACAGTCTGATGTTTGTGGGCATTCTGGTACAGTCTCTTTATGCAAGAGCTCATGAACAGCTCAAGAAATTACCATAACTTGTTGGAAGCAAAAGAAACAAAATTCCTCCAGATTTCCTTTACTCTCGCTTCTCAGAAAAACAGTAAGAATGTGACACACAGCCCCTGCAACTCCAAACATACCTATAGCACATGCATGAGGGGAAGAAGGAGGGGAGAGGAGGAAAGAGAGGTGTAAGGAACATTATTGTATAATTTATCAGCATTCTTTGAGACCTTTAACAAAGGAAAATCACTCAGGTGCCCCTTGTGGGAATACCAGAATTGTGACCAGTTTACAAAGTTTAGCAATTACACACTTTAGATGTCCTTCTAAAGACACTCTAGTCCTCTTATCAAAAGGAAAACCACATCCTTCTCCAAAATTTGAAAAGTGTGAAGGATAGGAATTTTCATAGTTGCAATCTGCCCCTAAAACCCCCCACACCAGGCAAGTAAACCAGAAGGAAATCAGAGTGCCTGCATTTAGAGGAGCTTAAAGATATGAACAGCACAGGACAAGCCCCTTGTATCCTTTGTGTGGATGCACTCAGATGTGACTGATCTGGCTCTGTCCTTAAGGACTCTTGGTTTCCTTAGACTGACAGGCTGTATGGACTTAGCTGTATCGGATGTTGATCATTATTGCCATACTTCACAACATTCATATTTGATTAGAATATTTTCCAAATACTGCCACCAGCTTTTGCTGCAGCTTTAAAAAAATAAATAAGTGCTTTTGAACAACAGGAAATTCATCAGCTCAGGAGGGCACAATGTACAGAAGGATTCCTCCTCCTCTGATACGTAGCAAAAGCTTGGGAGCACATAAAAGCAAAGATTTGTAATAGAAGAAAAGTCTAAAAACTTCAACATCCTATATGTGGTAGAATGCTTACAGTTAAACAAACTGCAGAGGAAGTGACAGGAGAACCAAAGCCACCCAATAAATGACTGGCAGGAATTACAGCCCAACCCCATAGTGTTGCAGTTTACTTTTCCATTCAGTAAACAACACGCCTATGTTTGGGTCTACCAAAAGTTTAACAATAACATGTCAAATGCACTTACTGTGACGCAGGATGGGGAGTTTGTGAATCTCCCAAAAGCTGTAGGCCAGAAGGCAAGGTGCGGCCTGTGAGGACATGCCACCTGCATGGGAAGATAAACTGATCCTGATGATGCAAAAATAAGTACTGGCAGAGATTCAGATGTTAATCCCCAGCTAACAGGACCTGGCTGAAAAAATGAAGGAATTAGTGTGGGAAGAGATTTTGTTTCAATTTAAGATGCATCTTGTTTGAAAGAAGAAGTTGTGGGAAGAAGTTGTGCTGTGCCCCTGACAAGAAGCATGTGCCTAGGACAGCTCCCAGAGTGGCTTAGCTCCAGTGGAGCTACCTGGGTCAAGGCATCTTGTGCCTCTGGAGACAGGACTGTGCATTTTAGCTAGTGCACCCTGGAAGTGAAGGATTGGTTCCCCAAAGTTGGTGCT